TGCGGCAGCCGCCACCCCGGCTCTCCCCCCATATATGCGCGCAGCCTTTGCAAGCAGGGCGGGACTAGTCACTCTCCCGCCGCCGAGAGGAGGCAGGAGCTGAGGAGGGGCCTGCGGGTGGCTCGGAAGCTCCAAGCCTTTTGTCCTTCCTGCCGGGGAGCCCCGGGTTCAGGCTCCCGAGAGGTGGCCCAAAGAGGTGCTGCCCCACGGAGGCCGCGTCATGTCCCGCTTGAAGTGGCTGCTGCCTGTCGAACAATGGATCCGTGCTATTTTTGTATCAGAGAAACGGCTATGGACCGATGGCTCCCCTGAGAGCTTGGAAAGCTGTGGGGTCCCGGCCAGGTGTGTGTGGAGGGGGACAGAGGCCTTCCGTGTTGGGAGGGGAGGGGAGGGGAGGGGGGTGTTTGAATGGCCTGTGGCTTTATTCCGGGAGTTGGGGAGAGACAGACCGACTTAAGTGCCCCCTCCTCCCCCCTCCCCTTTTCTTGGTTGTCCCAGTTTGTGCATCCTGGAAGCCCGTCTGTCCTCAGCAACCTCGCTTTGACACTGGCAGAAAGGCGGCGAGCGAGGGGGTGCTGCCCACCGCCTCGTGGCTCCTGCTTGAGCAGGGAGCCATCCGGCCGGTGGGCTTTCCCCCCTTCCCAGTCACTGCTGCATGTCTTTGCCCTGGAATCTCAGCCAGCTCCTGATAGCAGAGGATCTCCCCACCCGCCACATTTTCTGTGTTTTCCTCCCTTCCTTGCGCCTTCACTCACCTTCCCGGCCTTGCTGGGTGCCTCCGATGATCTCAAGGAAGAATGGTTAAAAATTCTGGTGCATTCCATTGTGCCCTTGTGTTCCTAGATGTGGATTGAAGTTGGGCTGTTTTAACATTCCTCCCCCGCCCCCCCTTGGGGAAATGCACTGGCCATCCTTGACCTCTAGCAGCCTGCATGGCACAGGTAGTGCTCTCAGGGCCTCTGGCCTCCCTCCTTGCGTTCCATGGAGGGAAGGTGTGCATGACAAGCCTACTCTTGACCCATTGCCCTCTGAAGCATCTCAGGGCCTTTCCTCCTCCCCCACAGCCCCCCCATGAGCCTGTTCTCTGGAATGCAGCTGGCAGCTGAGCCTTGTCCTGCTCACCTTCCCCTTCCTTTTATTCTTCCCTTTCTCACTTTGCTTTTGGGAAAAACAGCCCAGCGATGCACTCCTCCATTCCAGCTGATAAAGCTCTTGGTTGTCAACTGTGTCTGGTTTCCTTTCTTCAGCGGGAGGGGAGACGCCGCGCCCCTCAGAATTTGATCCTGGCTGCTTCTGGCTCGCTCGGAGCGCCCCATGTACGTGCTCAGACATACCAGTCCTGGGCCGGGTGGTCAGCACTGAGAAAAGGGCTTGGCTTGGCTGGGCTGCTCCTCCCCAGAAGGAGACCCTAGCAGAGAGGGAGCCGTGAACTGCAGGGCTGGCGTGCCTCGGTGTGGCCCAGGGCAGCTGAGCACTGGAAAAGGTTTGCTGGGAAGGGCGCAGGGTTGGGGCCAGGACGAGGCACCCAGCACGGAGGGAGGGAGGGAGGGAGGGAGGGGCGGAGGCTGGGCTTAAGAGGGTTGAACGGGGTGATCTTCCAAGCCACTGAGCCGCCTTTCGCACAGCACAGGCCCTTTCCTCAGGCCTCCGTCCAGGGCCAGAAGCAGGGAAGCCCTTGCAGGGCCCACTGGAGGCTGCTGCCTCCCTGGTGCCTTGTGGCAGGAGATCCAGGAGTCCTTGCGTAAGGGGAGCGGCCGTCCTGACTTCGTGAGCCTTTACTTCGGTGCTTTTGAGCATTGTTTTTTCCCTGTCTAATTTTAAAAAGCCCCCCCATTTTGCAGATGCCCCACCCTTCCAGGCCTCGTTCCTGGCCTTTCTCCAGCTGTCCAGCAGAGCTAGCCTTTGTATTTTGTGTGGGGAGGGTGAGTGACCCTCCCTGCGTGTCTTTTTGTTGTAAGTTGAGTGTTGAGCTCCAGGCTTCCCTTGCCGTCCCCGTGCTGCCACCCACAGCGCTGGCGTTGCTGTGGTAACCTGCCAGGCAGAAGACGGTGCTCTGCTCCCCAGAAGGACGGGAGGCGGGATGCGTGGGGTATTCTCCCCAGCCCCGTCAGCCACGAGGAGGCTACGGGGACTCCCTTAGCGGAGTTCAGGTCCTCTTCCTGGAAGACTGATGTGCCCACCCCACAAGCAGAGGCCACCCCACCTTACTTGCTCTGAAGACGCTGACGCTGCAGGGCTGGGGGGTGAGGGCTCCTGAGCCTGGAAGGCCTCTGGGCTGACCTAGTGTGCTCTGAACCTTATCAGCCTGCCCAGCCCCACTCCCGTCCGCCCGTTCAGGGGACGCTCCTGAATCTGTTGTCGTGAGATTCAGCTACCGGCGAGGTCAAACTGCCGAAATTGCTGGAGCTGTCTTGCGATGCCGAGAGAGGTGGGGTGGTCCTTGAAGGAATCTGCTGCCCACCCTGACGAGCTGCTGTTTTCCAGGAGGGTGGCCTGTTACAAAAAAAGCTTTTAGTGGATTAAATCTGGGCCCTGTGCAGAACTCTGTGCCCCCCTCCGCTATGCTGGAATGGGGGTGGTGGTCATGGGCATTACTGCTCCGGCAGGGGCTGCCCTGGGCCTCAGTAGGCCTTTGACTCTTGTCCACCATGACTCATTTTCTCACGTTTGCTGTGTGCTGGCTGCGTGAAGCATCTACTCCAGGCACAGCCTCATCTTTTGGTTCGTGGGGTTGGGCTGGGCTGCTGCCTTCATGACCTGCGGGTGGGGGGGGCCTGAGGTCGTTTGCTTCAAAAGTAGCAGCTGCCAGGCCTGCTTGTGTCCTTGGCGCTCGTGGGCTGCTACTTACGGTATGTTGGAAGCGGGTGCTTCTCGGGGCATGGACTTGGGGTTTCCGCACGGGCAGGGTCCCACCCCAGATAGGCTGCCTTACCGCCTTTGGGAGGAAGCGCCTGGTCAGCTCCGAGCTCGCAGCCGCTTCCACGGCTTGCAGGTCCTTGGCCTTTTCCCTCGCTGCGGAAGACACGATTCCCACTTCTCCCAGGGCGGTGGATGGTGGTGGATGACCGGCTTTGAGCTGTGCAGCCACGGGTAAAACACCAGGTGGTTCCTCCTCGTTGCTGCCGTCTCTGCCGCCTGATTCCACAGAGGCGAATCCCGCGCGGGGAGCACCCCCCCGCAAGTCAGCATTAGAGGGATCTCAGGCCCAGCTTGATGAGAAGCGACAAGGCAAAGATGCCCACCCACCTGGCACCCAGGGCTTTTTCTCTGCCTCTTTCGCGCTCCCCTGCAATCCATCCCAGTCCAGCGCCTCAAATTTAAAAACAAAAAGCCAGGTGACCAGGAGACGTCGTGCTCTTGTGCTTTTCAGTGGCTCGTAGGTCAAACAGCTACCAGGTGTAACAGCAAGATCACGTGGCAACTTGAAGGGAAGCTAAGAAAAAGTCTGGAGTTTATTCTGTTAAAGGAGCCTGTGCTCCGCCCTGGCCAGCTCGTGGGGACGAAGATTCAGCAGGGCTGTGCAAGCGTCAGCTCCAAAGCAGAAACCCAAGGATCTGTTGGATGCACCCAGGCATGTACATTTCGAAGGCACCATCTGCAAGGGGAACGTGGCAACCCTAATGTGGGCTGGTTTGGTTGCCCCTGTGGTGAGGCCAGTTTGAAAGCTCTGGGTGGCTTTTCCTCTGAGGAGATGGAAGATCAAGCGAGCCGTTTCCATCCCTTTGCTAAAGATACAGCATATTTTCTTCCAGGTTTCATGATTCATCCTGAACAGGCTGCAGGCTAGCAGGTGGGAGGATGACTCGAGAGGGCCACGTTCCAAAATGGGGTGTGGGCGGCAGATGCTGAAGTGGCTTCCTCTGGATCTGCTCCGCTCGTCTGGATCCGGCAGCTGCTCTGAGACCGGAGGCTGCCCTGCCCCTTCTTGGCCGCTTGGACGGATGGGGTGCCCAAGGCCCTCGCCTCCAGCTTCCACGCCCCAAAAATGGGATTTTTATGGTGGATTTGCCTTTCGACAGATTTTGGTGTGTGCCAACCTGTCCTCCTGGTTCGTGGCAAGATTATGTGCGGTGGGGTGCTGACCTGGGCCCCATAGAGAGCCCAGAGGAGTGCAGGATTCTAACCCTGAAACAGGAATTGCAAATTTTGTGGAGCACCTTCTGTAGCCACGAGAGCCCATGGAGCCCTCCACGTTCAGGAGCAGTATAGTGATGAATGCTAGGTGCAAGCAGCTGGAGGAAACGGGCAGCACCATCATGCCCCGTTATGCAGTTGATCCCAGAAGGTGAATGCTAGATGGAGGAGGCATAACGGTTGGGGCAAGAAGAGGCAGAATCTACTTGTAGACCTTCCAAAGACTGCCCAGGCCCCAAGCGGTGTTGAGGACTCTGGTTTCTGAGCCCGGCTGGCCTTTCCTGGCTCCAGAGCTTTGGTTCACCTGGTTCCAGGTGAGAACAGCGCTCCCTTCCTGCCCTCTCTCTCCCCCTCTCATTGCTGCATCATTCTGGCAACGTCACTCTGGGCAAGACCTGGCTTGCTTCTTGCCAACATGTCCAGATAGCCATCCTTCGCTCCTGAGGGCTGGATTGGGGTGCAGGGAAGGTGTGTTTCTCCAGGCAAAGAGGCTTTGTCCTCTGCCCTCAGTCCTGCCAAGGGAAGGCTGGTCCAGCCCCGTCCGGCTCAGTTGCCTTGCTTGCCCTCCTGGTTGATGGAGAACAGGCTGGGGAGCCTAACAGGGTTGCTGCTCAGAGCCCTTCACTGAGAGGAGAGGAGGAAGGTGGCCACGATGGCCAGGTGCTGTGCCCAGGGCAGGGGGTGCCAAGGCAGCTTGCCAGGAAGGTGCTCCTGGCCCTCAGAGATGCTGGGTTACTCAACAGCTTGATTTTCCCAGGGGACCTTGAAAATAGGGCTCCTGTGAGAGAAGTTAAATAATGGTACCTCCAGATTCAGAGACATTCTACCTGTTGCGCCTACAGATCACCGATTGGGGGAGAACCTTCCAGTTCTGCTTGTGGGCTTCTCCCCAGCATCGATTTTGCCCAGCTGGGTGAGAAAGAAGAGACCGGGCTGGAAGGGTCATTTCCTGTGACCCGTTGGGAATGAGAATTTTTTATTGGGCTTTGCACTCCCCCCCAAAGCAAATTCAATGAAAGGGGTTGGGGGGGCAAGCATCACACCCAACTGGATGTCCTCTTAAAGAATTGCGGGTCAAGGCCCCTTCCCCTGGCCTCCTGGCTCTGGGAGGCGCAGATGACGCAGGCCTGTGCTTTCTGCCCTCTCTTTGTGGGGGCAGCGCTGCACCGGCTGGATTCCTACCTCCTGCTTTGAGCTGGACGCGTCCCCTTTAAGGGCTGCCAGTGGCCACTGGGGGCACTGCGGAGCCCAGGAGGCGTCTGTGCCGGCCGCCGAGCAGGTGCCGAGCCAGGGAGGGGGCGCCTCTGCTGCGGGCGCCCGGCGAGGTGAGGAGGCCGTGTGCTTGCGGACGGGGTCAGAGTGGTGAGATGGGGCAGGGGATGCCGCGCTGGGCTGGGGGCAGAGCCCTGCTCCCTGAAAGTGGGGGGTGTGCGTGCATCTCTGGCTGAAGCTGGGAGGGGGCTCCCCCCCCCACCAAAGAGCAGCTGAGGAGGTCCGGGCTGGAGGATGCAACGCCTCTTTTATACGGGAGCGTCTTTGTGCCCCCCCAGCCCCTGCTGAAAGGCTACTCCATCGGCCGCCACCAATGACGTATTATGAAGGAGGAGGCCCCCCCAGATCCCTTTCCAAATGTCGGCATCATCTTGACCCAGCAGCCCCCTGGGCATGAAGAAGGCCATCCCTTCCTATGCCAGCTCCCCGCTCTGCCTTGCTCAGGTGGGTAGAACATGTTGGCCAGGACCGGGAGGGGGGAGCGAAGGTAGAT